TTCAACAAGCAATATTGTGTCATCTGCATAATGCAAATTATTGATGTCCTCCTAGCTTGCTAGAGTTCAGCTTCTCAAATAATTTGCTCAGCATACAGATTTAATAGGTATGGAGAGAGAACAAAACCTTGGCACATTCTCTCCTTTATTTTAAACTATGTAATAGTGCTTTGCTCTGTTTACATATCAGACTCTTGGATTAGGTATAGGTTTCACATGAGCACAAGTCCTCTGGGATTCTCATTCTTCTTAGAGTTAGCCATGACTTCTATGATTGTGATCCACACAGTTAAATGCCTTTGCATAGTCATTAAGTATACTGGTAGCTTACTGCATAACATTTCAAGCTGCAACCCAAAAGGTCAACAGTTCAAATCCACCAGCTGCTACATGGAAGAGCAATGGGCTGTCACTACCTAGAAAGTCTTAGAGTATTAGAAACCAGTAGAGGGTGAACACTACATTGGGACAGATGAAGGTAAAAACTCTTAAAAGGAATACATGATTAGGCATTATTTAGATGACAACATTCCAGAATGAGATGTGCATCACAAAATAGACTAGAGGAGCAGAAATGGAGAGTGGGGAAACTATGTAACAATAAATGTTTTTTTTTAAGTGAACTGGTCGGGGAGAGGAAAGAAAATGTGCAAGAATGAATGAAAGAAAGAAAGAAAGAAAGAAAGAAAGAAAGAAAGAAAGAAAGAAAGAAAGAAAGAAAGAAAGAAAGAAAGAAAGAAAGAAAGAAAGAAAATCCAACTTTTCTGTAAACTTTCATTAAAATCACAATGAAAAAAAATTGTTCTCTAAAAAGAAATAAAATAGAAACTAGTAGAGGGTCTCTATGAGCTGAAACTAACTTTATAGCAATGGATTTGCATTTGTAGCCAGCAAATGGCTCTGGGAGACAGCAATTGAGCTTATTTATAGCATTTCCTGATGTTTGAAACATATGACAGGATAGAGAGATGTGATACTGAGAAATTTTAAAATTAAGAAAGTAGAGGAAGAACCACTGAGGAAAAAAGGCTATTTCTTTGCATTTCTCCTTTTATTCTCTTTCTTCAACTTATTACAACTCAGTAGCAATCGGTTTATTTAGCTGTGGGGATCTAGTCTGTTTGGCTTAGTCAGAGGGCTCCAGAGAACTCAAGAGAGGAGAGGATCTCCTAGGCTTCTCTTAGCTGACTATTTCCATTTACAGGTTCATTTTTAAAAGTTAAATAAGAGTTAGCATTAGAAAATTAATTTTTAGAAGGTAAAATTTGGTAACAGGAGTATTTTAATATATAAAGTTTGTGCAATATATTTAATGACCCATTTTTCAAAAGATAAGATTCCTTCTTATAAATGATTTCATAAAACCAGTAAGAATTTTTAGAAAAGCATGTGAAATAGGAAGTTATCAAAGCAGTTAATGACTTAAAAAATCATCACATAAGGAATATTCTTTCCCCAACCATTTTTAAATTTTTTTTCTATAAGTATGTGTTTACTTTTTATGGAGTAGGCTACATTTTGAAAAGAAACTATATTCAATTACCAAAGAGACTGAATGCTAAATAATTAGAAAACAACTTAAAAAATGCCATATTTTCATGGGCTAGTAATAGAGATAAAAATATTACTTATACAGAATTAATAAAGTTAAAATAGTTTAGCTACAGGGAGAATTCAAGTGTCATAAAACTCACTTTTCCCACGTTTTTATTTTTTTTTTTATTCCCTTACTAAGTTGTCTAGGAATATTTAAAAAATGCCTTCATTCTTACCAAGAAATTCTTGGCACGGTATAGTAGGAACCAAGTCTGTATTGACAGTACTTAGTTACTTCAGGTAGATGTTGAGGAACCAGAACCAAAAAGAAGAGAAATATTACTCTTTCTTCCCACTGTGTCTGTGCTTGACACCAAAAAAAAAAGAAAGTTGCATACATTGTTACTTGTTCTTGTTAGGTATCATCAAGCTGAATACAACTCATAACAACCCTATGAACAACAAATCTGAATCCTGCGCTATTCTGTGCCATCCACACAATCGCTGATATATTTGAAGCACTTGCTGCAGTCATTGTTTCAATTCATCTTGATGGGGGAGGCGTCTTCCTCCCTTTCTCTGACCCTCCACCCTTTCCTAGCATGATATTCTTTTCCAAGGAATAGCTTCTCCTAGCAACATGTCCAAAGCATGAGGGACAAAGCTTTGCCGTCCTTGCCTCAAAAGAACACTGGCTGCATTTTTTCCAAAGTCCACGTGTTCATTCTCTTGGTAGTCCATGGGATATTCGGTACCATTCTTCAACATCAAAGCTCAAAGGTATCAATTCTTCTTCTGTCATCCTAATTCATTGTCTAGCTCTCAGATGGATAGCAAGTAAATGAAAAGACAATGGCCTAAACATGTGCACCTGTGTCCTCAAACTGACATCATTCTTCTTCAGTATTTTGGAAGGTCCCTGACAGCAGCTTTGTCCAAATCAATACATCTTCATATCTCTTGATTGCTGGTAAATTGCATAATAAAAATTGTCATTTGAATTTAAGTTTTAAGTTTAGAGAGCAAATTAGTTTGCCATTCAACAACTCACATGCTTCTTGTTTTGTAAAACTGATTTGCAATTCCTGCAGTTTAATGGCAGTCATCCACTCCCTCCTTGTGTTTATAATTTCCTGGAGTCGTTCAGTATCACTTTCTGCCGTTAAAAAAAAAAAAATTGGAAAAAATTGGTTCGCATATGATAGTTTGTTTACATTGTTTTTAATCCATAAGCATTATGTTTTATGTAATCTTTACATTGTATTTATTACAATCATTCATATACTTTGTATTTTACATAATTAATTAGAATTTATCTATTCCTATTATTACCCAGTCTTTTTGAGTCTTTCCTATTCTTTTATCTCCACCATTGGTACACTAGACCCTGCTATCCTAATCTTTTCTTTCATTTTTTCCATTCCCTCTTTCCTTTCCTCTTAGCCCTTTTGAACTTTTATACACATCTTACTATTCCTCTATTTTTATCATTATTAAAGTATTATGCACCATTTGTCCTTAGGAGACAGAGTTAGTTCACTCAGTGTAATGTTCTCTAGAATGTCCAGTGTTACAGTAATTTACAAAGTGGTTGTTCCTTATTGTTGCATTGTATTCCATTGTGTGCAATTTCTCAATCTGTTCATGTGTTGATAGGCATTTGGACTGTTTTCCTTTTTTCTTGCTGGTATGACTAGCACTGCTATGAACACAGGTGTGTTACACATTTGTGTCTTAATCTTTATTTTCTTAGGATATATTCCTAGCAATGAAATAGCTGAGTCATATGGGAGCTCTATGTTCAGCTTTTTGAAGAAACTCCAAACTTTTGATCACCTGTGGTTGATTTTTATAATGAGTGAATGCTTCCCTGATTTTATTCTTCACTTTAGAGGCCTATCATCTGATTGCAAGTTGAGCGATGAGCCTGATGGAAGTCTAAAGGTCATCATATCAGTCACCCCACCAGCCTCTTTCAGCCCCATAAACCTGTTTTTTAAGGTTTTGCATTTTCTTTTATTTTTACCCCACTACATCCAGAATCTCCTCTGGTGATCCTTTTTAAAGTGCTTAGTAGTGGTAACTAGGCACCATCTAGTCTTCCTAGTTTCAGGATGTTGAAGTTGGGATACACTTGGTGTGTTAGAACTTTGGAGTAATTATTCCCTTGCAGCTTTACTTTTCTTCAGCCGATTGATCTTGATGTCTCATGAGCCCCAGACCCATTGTCTCCAGCTGTTTGGCTATGGCTAAGAAGGTTTGTCCCCTGTATGTTCTACTATCTTGATAGATATATTTTCAGTACATATAAATACATATGTAGAAATATCCTTTGTCAAATATGCCTAGGTATGTCTATTCAGGGGTGTTCAGCCTCTGTGTCTGTGTTAGATCATTGTTTTTACCGTTATTTCCCCTAACAATAACAACAACAACAATTGTTTTCTTGTCCCATCTTTCATTCCTAAGAAGTGCTTTCCCAGTCTGTAGGCTTTAATTACTCTTTTGGTGAATTTTTTTCATATGAATAAATGCTTAGTTTTCAGGAGATTCTAGTTATCTATTTTGTCTCCAGGTGTTTGTACTTTATCAGTTATAAAAAAATATTATTTAATCTTTGAGCCAAATATAAAAAACCTAAATATTTTACAGAGTGTTTAAGTCTTACAAATACAATAACCTGCAAACAGGAAATTTGCCTTATAGCAATTCGCATTTGTATTGAGTTCTCCTTATAGGTGTGCTCATTTCTACTTGAACTTTATATTCTTGTCTATGGGTGGATTCTCTTGGAGAATGATGAGATAGTCTTCTTCCATATAGATTTCCAACATTGGCTACCCTACAGAGAAGTTCTATTCTGTTCTGTTCTATCAGATGGCTGCCTATAAAGCAGAATTGCCTTGGTAGCAGGAGGTTGGGTATGATTAAAAAAAAAAAAAAAGAGTGGCACAGTTTGTTTTGCTGGCAACCACCAGGTTAGCAGCTCAGTCCCACTAGTTGTTCCATAATAAAAAGATCTACTGATCATTTCCATAGAGTTCACCTCCAAGAAAACCCTGCAGAGAAGTTCTGCTTCAATTCACAGGTCACATGTAGTCAGAACTGACAAAAGAAACTGACAAACCAAAAACATGTTTTAGAATTTGCAGAACTTTTGTTTCTGGCTGATACACTAAATGATGGAGATCCCCCACCCCATATAAATGTTCTTATTTCTTAATTAATAAGAAAGTATGATAAAATAAAGTTGCAAAATTCACATCATAAATGAAAATATTTACATTGTTTATGAACTCTAAGCTTAAAATTGTCCATCTATGCTTAATAGTTTCAATCTAATTCAAAAATATAGAAAATAAATTAACACATCAGAGTGCTGGGTTATAAATGGTTGCATAAGATTAGCAAGCTATCTAACCTCATAATTTCCACACTTAGAAGGCTTTCTTTGCTTCCCTCAGAATGGACTCAACGCTCTCCATTTGGCAGCCAAGGAGGGCCACGTGGGCCTGGTTCAGGAGCTGCTGGGAAGAGGGTCTGCTGTGGATTCAGCTACTAAGGTAATGTCTGCGTATGTAGAATTTGTTTTCCTTAAGAAAAAAAATTGAAATTGTTTGAAACTTCACAGGAACACCAAAATTCTTACTTAACCAAGCAGAATGAAAAACCCTATCTTTGACGTGTTTCTTTTTAATGTATGTATGTATGTATGTATTTATTTTTCATTTCAATGAACGTCTACAGAGATTTTGGAATTCCATTCATTCATTGTTGCACCCTTCTCCCCGCCCATCCCTTAAGGATGAATCAGACATGAGATTAAATAAAGAGTTTCTTATATTTAAAAAAAAACTCTGACCTAATGTTTTCTCTTTTTAACATTGCTTGACTTAATAGGTTAATAAAATCACCACAAGTCAATAGCACCTGTTTTACTAAAGGTAGCTAATTTTTTAAATAAATTGACATAGTACACATCTCAGTAAAAATGAACATATAATTTTTAAGCTTCGGCTAAATGAAAATAGCTTTGTTGTTGTTATGTGCCATCAAGTCACCTGCAACTCATAGCGACCCTATGTACAGCAGCTCTGAAGCCTGCCCTGTCCTGAGCCAATCTCACTGACTCCAACACACTTATCCCCATTGTCCCAGCTACTGTATCAATCCATCTCATCTGGAGTCTTCCTCTCCTGTGCTGTCCCTCCACCCTTCCAAGAATCATGTCCTTCTCCAATGGCAATTCAGAATGCATTAGTTATTTCTGTAATGTGTAGTCTCTTTCAGCTACTCCTTCCCATGAAATGCTTGTCTGTGAGATGTTATGTTCTAAAGCTAAGCATCCAAATTAAGACAGGCTAGGAAGAGAGGGTTAAACTGGGAGGCTCATTGGAGTCAAGGATTCTGAAGCTTCATCTAACATACTTTGGACGTGTTGTAAAGAGAGACTGGTCCTTGGAAAAGGACATCATGCTTGGGAGGGTAGAGGGACAGCACAGGAGATAGAAAGGCCCTCTGTGAGTTGGTTGATTCAGTGACTGGGATAATCAGGATGGGTGTATCAGAGACAGTGCGATTGGCACAGAACAGAGCAGAGTTTAGGGCTGTTGTACATAGGGTCGCTATGAGTCGCAAGCACTTGATGCCACATAACAATAACAACAGGAAGAACGATTAGCCTTCCACTTCCAAAATATAACAAGCTTTTGAAAAGCCTATGTACAATAGAACACAGAGTAGATACACCTTTAGATATATTGACTTGGTATATAAAATGATTAATGTTTTGATAATGAACCATAACCTCTATCGAAGATGAGTTACTACTATCTTAAGAGAATCACAAATTGAAATTATCAGCAAATTTAAAGATGCTTACTTATTTTTATTTCTACAAAATTTAACAACCTCTAACCTTTCTATTTTATTTCTCTAAAACAGAAGGGAAATACTGCTCTTCACATCGCATCTTTGGCTGGACAAGCAGAAGTTGTCAAAGTTCTCGTTAAGGAAGGAGCCAATATTAACGCACAGTCTCAGGTATTACTTTCAGATGTGTACAAATGAAAAGGAATATGAATTAATAAAAAAATATATTGTTAAACTGATTTAGCCAATTGTTAGACAGTTAAGTTTTCTATAAGTAAGTTTATAGTATGAAATTTTTACTTTCTTAACATATAATATCACTATTGTCGTGAATCAAAATTGAACAAGTCTTATTGATTATTTCAACAAGAAATCTTGTTTATTTTCAAAATAAGATGGAATTGGGGGCACAAAACCATTACACAAAGTAGTGTATGATTAAGAACTAATCATGATAAAGGAAGGACTTCAAGCTTCACTGAAGGCATTAGGAACTTTAGAGCCCAGGAATTTATTGGGTTGTTTTTGTTATGTGCCATCGAATTGCTTGGAACATAGCAACCCTATGTACAAGACCCCTAAATCCTGCTCTAACCTGTGCCAATATCACTGTCTCTGACACACCTATTCACTGAATTGATTCATCTCATCAAGGGTCTTCCTCTCTTGCACTGTCCCTTCACCATCCCAAACATGATGTCCCTCTCCAAGGACGGGTCCCTCTTTACAACATGTCTAAAGTATGTCAGACAAAGCTTCAGAACCTAGTCATTGTCCAGCTCCCTGATGCATAGCACACAATTGTAAAGACTATGGCCTGGATCAGGCACACCTTGGTCTCCAGCCTGATGTCATCGATCTTCAGAACTCTGGAGACGTCCTTGACAGTTGACTTTCCCAGTGCAATTTATCTCTTGATTTCTTGCATGTTGGTGCCAAGAGTACTGACTGTGGAGCCAAGCAAATTAAAACTGTTAACAATCTCAATCTCTTCACCATCCATCATGATGCTGCCAGTGGTGAGAATCATTGTTTTCTCGATGTTGAGCTTCAATCCATTCAAGGCTGCACCTTTTGCAGCAAGTGCTTCAGGTCCTCCTCAGTTTCAGCAAGCAGAGTTGTGTCTTCAGCAAGCAGGGTTGTGCCATTTGCATAGCGCAGTTGTTGATGAATCTTCCTCTAACCCTGATACCACATTCCTCCTCATACAGACCAGCCTCCCGGATGATCTGTTCTGCATACAGATTGTAAAGGTATGGAGACAGAATACATCCCTGGTGGCCACCCTTCTGGATTTTGAACCATTCAGTAGTCTCCTTGCTCTGTTCTGATGCCTGCCTCCTGGTTCAAGTATAGGTTTCGTATAAGCACAATCAAATGTTCTGGGAATCCCACTCTTCTCAGAGTCAGCCACAGTTTGTTGTGATTCATACAGTCAAAAGTCTTTGCATAGTCAATGAAACATAAATAGCCATTCCTCTGGTACTCTTTGCTTTTAGCCAAAATCCGTCCAACATTAGCTATAATATTCCTACTACCAAGGCCTCTTCTAAACTCAGCCTGCCGTTCTCTGTTGACATATTGCTCCAGTTATTTTTGGATAAGTTTCATCAGAGTCTTTCTTGCATGTGATATTAATGATATTGTTCAATAATTTCCACACTTTTGGGATGGGAACAAATATCAATCTCTTCCAGTCAGTTGGCCAGGTGGCACAATTAATATATTTCAACAAACAGATGCAGCCTTAGACATGTTCACTGAGCCATGCCAGGAAATTTGAAGGAAAACTACCTGGCCAACCAATTGGAAGAGAACTATATTTGTTCCTATTCCCAAAAATACTGCCAAATGTCAAAAGGATCTTGGGTAAATCAGAGAGGACCAGAAAGATATCTATTTGTGTTTTGTCACACATGCAAAAGCATTTGACTATGTGGATCACAACAAACTGTGGCTAACATTGAGAAGAATGAGAACCCAGAACACTTGAATGTGCTCATGTGAAACCTATACCTAGACTAGCAAACTGTTATATTAACAGAGCAAGGGAACACTTCATGGTACAAAATCAAGATGGAGTGTGTCAAGGATGTATTATTTCTCCATATCTTTTCAGTCTATATTCTGAATAGATCATTTCTTAATGAAGAAGAATGTGGTATGAGGATTGGAGAAAGATTCATCAACAACCTGTACTATGCACAATCTTGCTCCCCAAATATGAGGACTTGAAGCACTTGATATAGAAGATCAGGGACTGTAGGCTTCAAAATGCATTGCATCTCAACCTCAAGAAAACAAAATCCTTACCACCAGAACAAGAGGAGTATTGTGAAAGAGGGAGAAAAGATTGAAGTTGTTAACAGTTTAATCTTGCTTGAGGCCACAAATTCTTCACACTAGCAGTTAAGAAATCAAAAGACAAATTGCACTGGGAATATCTGCTGTCAAAGACCTTTCCAGAGTGCTACAGAGCAACAGTGTCAGTCTGGAGATTAAGATGCACCTGATTCATGCCATGGTGTTCTCAATTGCTTGCTATGCATCTGAGAGTTGAACAGTGAATAAGGATGATAGAGGAAGAATTGATGCTTTGAGTTGTGGTCCTGGAGAAGAGTTTTGAGTCTACCATGGACTGCCAAAAGAACAAACAAGTTTGTCCTGAAGAGGATGAAACCAGCTTCTCCTTGCATTCCTTGGAGAGGGATATCATACATGGAAGAGTAGAGGATCAATGCAGGAGAGAAGGACTCAGATGAGATGGGTTGACACAGTGACTGTGGAAATGGAGTCAGATGTGGCAGAGATGGGAAGGTTAGCTCAGAACAGAACAAGGTTCAGAACCGTTGTTTATAGAGTTGCTGAGTTGTAGAAAACATCATGACACATAAGAATAATAACAGAATATAGAAATTAGAAAACTTTATCATTAATATCACATGCAAATAAAATCTTGCTGAAGATCATTCAAAATGGCTAGAAGAATATATCAATAGAGAACTTCCAGAAATTAAGACTTAGAAGATTCAGATTTAGCAGAATCTGTGGCACCAGGGATATCATTGCTGTTGTCAGATGGATCCTGGCTGAAAGAAGAGAATACCAGAAAACTGTTTGTTTGTGTTTATTGACTACACAAAAGCAAAACTGTGTGGGCATAACAAATTATGGCTGATACTGAGGAAGATGGAAATACCAGAACATTTAATTTGCTCATGTGAAGCCCATACCCAGGCCAAGAATCTGTGGTAGAAGTGTGGAAGCATGGTAGGGATCATTGCATTTTTTAAAATCAGGAAATGTTTGTGTCAGGCCTATATCCTTTCTCCATACCTATTCAATCAGTATGAAGAACAGGTAATTTAAAAAACTGGACTATCAAAATCAATCTCCACAATAGTCTACGTGTTTCCTTTTGCCAAAAGGGCACTTTAGAGTAGTGAGAGAAGATCTTCAACCTGAAACCTATAGCGTCCCTTTTCAGCAGGAAGTAGCTAAGACAATATGCCATCCCCTCTTCCTTATGAATCAGGGTGAAATCTTTCTCTCAGGGAGGAGTGATAGGGAATGGCAAGGGACACACTGACAAAGGAGATTAATCAGAACTGGTTTTGACAAACACTGTGGGAATGGGACAATTAAAACAGACTTTCAAGGGGGAAAAATTAAGAGGAACGAACTGGGTGGGGGTAGAGAAAATAGTGCTACAATGAATGAATGGAAATCCAAAATCTCTGTAAATGTTCATTAAAATTAATAAAATTTAATGAAAAAAAAATAAAAACATGGGGGAAAAACCCAAACTGGACTATGTGAAGAAATGCAGCATCCAGATTGGAAGTTGTCTCATCAACACCATGTGCTATGCAGATAACACAACCTTGCCTGTCAAAAGTGAGGAGAACTTTATCCTTGCTGCAAAGAATCAGGAACCACAGCCTTCAAATGGGTTATATCTTAACATTGTTGTTGATTCCCTTCAAGTCACGAATGACTCTTAACGACTTTATGAACAAAAGCCTGAAGCTCCTCTACAACTATAGATATTTATCAAAGTTCATTGTTTCCGCAGGCATGTTATTAAGGAAGTGGATGCCACTCCTACTTCCGAACCTTTCATAGTATGTTATTGTTGTTATGTGCCATTAAGTCATGTGTGATGTACAGTGATCCTAGGTACAGCAGCTCTGAACTCTTCCCTGTCCTGAGACAGTCTCACTAATTCTGACACACCAACCTCCATTGCCCCAGTTACTGTAACAAGCCATCTCATTTGGGGTCTCCCTCTCCTGTGCTGTCTGTCCACCTTTCCGAGCATTATGTCCTTTTCCATGAACTGATCTTTCCTGGCCACATGCCCAAAGTAAGTGAGGTAGAGCTTTAAAATCTTAGCTTCCAAGGAGAGACTTAGTTTTACCCTCTCCAAGAGGGTTTGTTTTCTTGGCAGTCCATGGTATGTTTAAGACTCTTTAGCACCACAACTCAAAGGCATCTATTCTTCTTCTGTCATCCTTAGTCATTATCCAACTCTCTGAAGCATAATAAGTAATTGAGAAGATTAGGAAAACAAAAATCCTCACCAGTGAGCCAATAATGATAGGTGGAGAAGAGATAGAAATTGGCAATGACTTAATCTTGTCTGGATCCACAATAAACAACCTTGGCACTGTCAGTCAGGAAATGAAAAGTCTATTGCATTGGGAAAGTCTGCTGTCAGGGACCTCTCCAAAGTGTTGAAGAGCAAAGATGGAAGTTTAAAGATGAAGATGGAACTGATTGAAGTCATAGTCTTTTTCAATCACTTCGTATGCATCTTAAATTTAACAATGAGTAAGGATGACAGAAGAATTGATGCCTTAGAGCTATGATAGTGGAGAGGAGTGCTGAATATCCCATGGACTGTCAAAACAACAAACAAGTATATCTTTGTAAAGGTGCAGTTGGATTGTTCCTTGGAGGGAAAGATGATGAAAATTCTCATGTACTTTGAACATGTTGTTATGTAGGGCCCAGTCTTGGAAAAATGCCATTATGCTTGGAACTATATAGGGTAAATGAAGGAGAAAAAGACCCTCAATGAGATGGATTGACATAGTGACCATTAACTGTAGGCTCGAGTGAGTCATAGTTGATGAAGATGGCACAAGATAGGGCAAGGTTCAGATTCG